GCCATCGTTTCACCACAACTCACGCCATAGTGTCGGACACAAAGTCGTCACTCACTTCGTCGACAATGAGTTGCGTATCGTTTCTATTGACCGACTCTTCGTTAAGAAGAAGTCCCGCGAGGACTGAGTGAACGGCACTCTCAGACCTTCCCAAAGGCATAGCCTATGTAGAGCTCAGACGAGCCCTACGACTGTCACCTCTTGTGCGAACTCAACGCTTAACTCACGCTTGCATTGCAAACAAACCCTTATATACCAGTCATTTGGGAACCAATTCCTGAGTTACAGTTTATAACACTTTTATCACTTCATTACCCATTCATTCAATACTAATCATCGTTTTGATCGTCGTTTTCATTCAAATCCACTTTAAACTCAATTATTATCTGTTAATTGACATTATTTTCTGCGTTTAAACTTAATTTCAAATGTTATGCCAAACATGTGCTCATCATTGCATCACATGTTCCCATAGAGTCAACACGTATTCATTGAACGGCTATTTAATTGTGTTTAATGTTAATTGTTATTCATATTAAGGACTAAATTAATAACTTTATGATTGCATCGAAGGGTAAGCTATCAATGAGTTTGATTTAAATGTAATTTTAACCTAAAATGAGACAATTATTGACATCAATGGTCTGAAAACAATCAAAACAATTATAAACAAACAATTTATTTGTAATTTTCGTGAATTAAGTTTAAATTTATTTACAAAAACTAGTGATAATTAATTATACAAAACTGATATTACAATTAAATAATAAAATTTTTAAATAAAATGCTAAACTAATAAATAAATAAAATTGAAATAATAATTGAAAAGTGATGTAAAGCTAAGGACGAGAATGAGTTGCAATCAGTTTCTCTTGTATTTCCTTTTGATAAACTTGTGGTTAAAAAGTTTGATTTGATTGCAGTCGGGATCGACGACCCGAGGGTTGGCCCGGAATTTGAGACACTTTTTGGCACATTTCTCGCCGTTATATAAACCCGTTTCCCACTGACGGACACAAAGCGCACAATTATTGAGACACAAATACATCTTATTATTAGCGCTGTTTTCAATCAATTTATTGTCCGATTGTCTCATCTTATTGTCCCTCTCTTCACATCTCACACCATATAATGATATTATAGTCAACACTAATGCCAATAGTGTACACATTATATCCATATTCAGTAACCGGTTATTCATTTTGAGCGTCTTTTTATCAAACTATAAAATTTCGATTTAAATTGTCTTAAATTGGTTTCAATTTTAATGATTGAGAAATAATTTAATTATTACCTGAATTTAGGGGCAAATTATTTTCCAATTACATGTATTGATGACAAAATTAGGATTTATTTATCAATTTATAGTACTATTTATGACAGAAATTAATTTGATTCATGTGTTTAAGAATTTGTGTTATTATTAGCGAAGTTTGCTTTCAGAACATCACAAGAAGTCTGAGAGTAATGAATGAAAACTGATTTAAATTTATACTAATTTACAGATTGAGAGGTGGAGTGAAGTGTGAGTTTGGGATCAAATCAAGAGTTTGATCACACGTTTGACAATGAATTGAGCGAAAGTAAGTCATCATTGAGGCCAAGGTATCCACAAATCCTTGTCCTTCCCATATATCCAACACTTTTCCGGATCATTGCTATCACTTCCATCACTGACTCTCAAGACATATATACTTCAGAAAAGAGACATTTATTGGAATTTTATTGAATCCGTCGATTGAAACGGAGGTTACGAGAGGTTATCGATATTTGAGACTTTTATTTAACTTTTAGCCAAAAGCCAAATACGATAATGTCGTCAATCATAAGTCAATGCCATTTTGATTCACTCTTATTTTAGTGATGATTTTCAATTCAATTGTCCGCAAATTCTGTACCATTACTACCGTTCAATTGAAAACAGCACTGAAAGCAAAATTAAGTCGAAAAATGTTGGCCCAAAATACCGAAGCACTCAATATATTTAGCCAAATATCCAAAATACCAGAACTGAAAATTCTAGAAAACATATTTACATCTAATGGATATGAACTGGTATTTGTGTTTTCAAATAAATCTATTTTTATTTTATTTGTTCACTATTTTCTCATTTTGTTAATGATTAGCGTATGGCCGGCGGTGCCGTTAGGGATCTTTTATGTGGTATTCAACCAAATGATATAGACTTTGCCTCAAATGCAAGACCGGATCAAATGATTGAAATAATGAGGTTTATTTCAACCAAAACCTATCTTTCAGTTGCATTTGCAATAATTTTGAACTATTTTTAACCAAAACAGAAACAAAGAGAATATTCGTCTTATAACAACTCCAGCCGGTAATTATCAAGTGATTCATAATTCACTAAAATTTGATTAATCTCAGGGTTTGATTGGTTTTTAAGGTGAAAGACACGGAACTGTTACCGCAAGAATCAATGACAAACATCAGTTTGAAATAACGACTTTACGTATAGATAAAAACACTGATGGAAGACACGCGGAGGTTGTGTTTGTCAATGACTGGAAAATCGGTATATTTTCGCAATTCTTACTCAAGGAAACACTTGAATCAGTATTTTTATCGGCAATTTAGACGCTTCTCGAAGGGATTTAACGATTAATTCGTTATTTTTGGATTTGAATGGAATTCTTTACGATTACTTTGACGGCGAGAATGATCTCAAGAATAAGATAATTAGATTTGTCGGCGATTCTGAGGCCAGAATTCGTGAGGATTATATCAGAATATTTCGTTATTTCCGATTTCACGCCCGATTTGGTTGCGCTAAGAAACACGACGAACAAACTCTGTCCACAATTAAAGCCAATTGCGATGGATTGCAGATAATTAGCGGAGAAAGGATTTGGGCTGAAATGAAGAGAATCCTAGTTTTTAAAGACTGCAGTGATGTGATCGATGTTATGCTAAACGACGTTAACATTGGAAAACATATGGGATTTAATGCCAATGAGTGCACAACCGGTGCCAATCAAGTGCTGCAAAATGATGACTATTCCCGCGATTTATCAGAATTTAGAAAAGTTGTCAATAATTTGAAGAATGGTGTGGAGAGTGAAGCGATGACCGGTTGGGAGGCGTCCACACTATTTGCGTCACTTATTAAGGACTCAACAGAACTGTTAAATGTTGTGAAACGTCTCAAACTTTCCAATAATGAGAAGGACTGCATACTCTTTATAATCACAAATAGAGAAACTATGATTAATGGAGACATTAATGCATTGCGAAAAGAATTAACGCTAACCCCTAAACCAAATCAGAATAATTATAGAAAATGTATTATTGAATGTTTGAAATATTGCGGTCTATTCTCAGAAATAGCCGCCATATCCGAGTGGACAATACCTGAATTCCCATTCACTGGTCATCTAATCGCTGGTCGAGTGAAAAAGAGAACATTAATTAAAGACATTATCAATGAATTGAAGACATTTTGGGCCAAAACAGGCTTTGAAGCGACAGAAGAACAACTGAAAGAAGAATTAGAAAGGCTTTTGCAAACCGATCGCTTCAAAGAATAAACTCAATTATTTTATGATATAATTGTAATTTTTATATTCAATAAAACATTAATCTTAAGTGATTTTTTCATATCCAATGCGAGCGCAAGAGAAGGCTATTAAGACATTGATATTAACTAAAGGCTATGATCTTATAACTGATTTCCAGTTTCTTGAGCTCATTATACACTAATGTCTCTCACATTTTGTGTGATTTATATAAAATTAACCATTTCTTGCATTTAAAGCGCTATAAAAGCTAATTTACGAAAAATTCTCTTTTGAAGGTGTTTTCTATTTCAATGAAATATTATTTATCATACAATCAATGGTTAAAATATTATCACATTCTGAATGAGAAAAATGCCATTAATTTGCTAATTGAATGAGAAGGTAAGGTAAGCGCCAGCTTTAGCCTTAGGTTTGACACTTCAATATTGAATAGTAATTTATTTCATCCAAAAATAAATTCATATCATATCTTATTTTCTGGTGAATAAAAATTATGTTATATTTTGTTAGTTTTTTAAAGCAACACAAATTGAACGAGATATTAATTTGCTTGAAATATTAGTTTTTTATTCTTTGTGCGGAAATAATAGTGACTACAAAACTATTTTTGAGTATAATTTGTTTTTCTTTGTATTACATATTACTATATTTAATATAAATTTAATATAAAGGAAAACAATTTGCTTTAAAGACGATTTACTGTAACACTTGTTGTCAACAGTTTATTAGAAATATAATTATTAGTCATTATTCTAATGTGAATCTAAAACTACATAATAATTATTACAATATCTTTATATTATTTTCTTATTTGAACACAATTTTTAACTTATATATCATATCCAATACCTTAACAATCAATTTACTTTCTCCTTAAATATATGTTTCATATAATATAGAGATGGGAATTGTATTTTGAATGTCAGTACAAACAGAGCTGTGGACAGACTTTCAATTTACAACATTTCATTAATTTTATATTTTGTTTTTTTTGTAATAAAGTTAAGACAAAGCTCTGAGACTTGATTCAAAACATCCTCTAATAATTGGATTGTGAGCTAAAAGTTTGGTAACTTTTGACTTCACTAACAGATAGCCAACTGAGCACTTAAACCAAACTAACACTAACTTAAATCCATCTAACTTTTAAACAATACATTTCCATTCAATTGTTTGCTGTATTGATATCTAAACTAGTGTTGAATGCAATGATGTGAGTGAATGACGTGAAGAAGTGGTCAAATGGTCCAGACGTGCACTTTCTCGACGACAACACACCAAGAGGTGGCCCTTTCGTTATAGTATGAGTTGACGACATGAAGATTCTGTATGTTTTGTTCAATGAGTTGTTCTAATTCTCCGCTCCGAAAGACATGAAAATATCGGTGAAGAGTTGTTGGCGGGGAAGGCGTTGACGACTGACACTCTGTGTCGCTCTTATCTACAGATTTTGTCGTAGATTTGGTCACTTCTGTGACATCTGAGGCACTTGTGTTGTCTTCGGAGGTCTGTTCTCCGATCAAATCCTCATAACAGGCGTCGTCTGTGGAAGAGCTCAAGAAGTCGGCGTCGAAATCGGCAAAAGTATCGCTATTATTGATGGCTTCGGTAACGCTTTGTCGAGTGCTTCGATTGGCAGGAATTATGGTCACAAATGACTCTTCGCTATCAATACTGATTTGTTGATAATTGTGTGCGATTTGGTTCACTCGAGTCGACCCTATGTTAGGACTGGCGGAGAATCTTCGGGGCTGATCCGCTTGAGCTTTCGGTACTTCCGGCTGATAGTCAGCGCTGAAACTTCTTTGCCTCAATAACTTCTTCGGAAATTTGTTATTACTTTGCATTTGTGGCACCGATTCGTTTGCCTGAACGCAATCATCCATTTCTTCCTTTTCTAATAAACTTTCTTTTTCTTCAATTGGATCCACACTTTCATCCATTTCTCTCTTATTTAAATTATCAGTGAATTGTTGTGTGTATTCATTGTTCTCTTCCTTTGATCCACAAATGGGTTGAGTTTTAATCTCGGAATTGTTTGTTTGAATGCATTGATTGTTTTGGTTGGTCTTGTCGTCGATGAAAGTGATTGGATGTAATTCCAGAAGTTTAGGTTTGTTTTTAGCCATTCGGTTAGAAGGAGCGGAGAAATCATTGGTTTGTGTTTCGTTCAAAGTGTGAAGTTCTGGCATCGAGTAATAGGCAATTAGTTGAGCGCCGGTAGTGTCAAGACTGGCCTGTCTTGACGACAGAGAGTCCGATGAAAATGATTTTTGTAATATTCTGATGACTCCCTTATTGTTCGCAATCGGTTTCGAGTTATTTATGATTTCCTGAGTTTTGGTCTCCAACTCTTTGGTTTCATTGATGATGTTTTTATTAATCCGATTAATGATATTAAGGTTACTCTTGGGTTTGTCGTTACGTTTGAAACTGAGGGGTAAACTAAATCTATGTGGAAATCCATTTTTATTATTTGATTCGTTGTTTATTGAGTTCTTTGATTTGAATTGAAATTGAAATGAAATGATGTGTTCTTTAATTATTGATAACAGAGAAGAACTGTTGAGAAGATTAGAATGACTTCTATTGCTATCGTTTACGGAAGTGATATCACAATCGATGGGACTATCAATGGCTGCACTAATGGACTCGTCGTCGTCGTAGTCGTGGTCTTCAATGTTTCGCAATTCTATGGGAAAGTCTTCTTTGGAAAGTGAAGACCCGTTGGAAGTCCGAGACTTATTACCACTCGTTCTTCTCGACTGCAAACTCCCGAAACTTCCGGTGAAACTAAACTTTCGGAGAGCTTTTCGGACAAAACTATAACAACTGCCAAATTCTGAGTTCGGAGTATTACACGACTCGTACACAGTATTGCCATAATTACTATTATTATAACCACTACTACTCGACTCACTCTCCGTATCACTACTATTTATATTTGTATTTAATTTATTGGGAAAGTCTTCTAATTTTATTAACACGTCCTGTGATTGCAGTTCCCGACCGACTGCCGGACCACTGGTGACCGTCAACAGGATTTTGCCGCCGATTTTCAATATTCTTGTTATTTCTCGCAGAGCTTTAACACGTCTCTCAACGGTCGAGACGTGATGTAAAACTCCAGAACACAGGACACCATCAAAGAAGTCGTCCCGAAATGGCAAATACATAACATCGCCGGTAATCAGTTGTTTATCTCCAGCGTATATATTCTTGCATTTAACCAAATCATTGCAAAACCATTCACAACACCTTTCGAGTCCAATCACTACGATATCTGACTTCAGGTTCAGATATTTCCCTATTATATTGAATTGAAAGAATTGTTGAGAATTTATAATTTGTTACTTTGAATAATTGCTTGAAAGCCATACCATCACCGCAGCCGACATCGAGTACACAATTTCCGATCTCAAACTCTTCAAACAGAAACTCCTTCACATGGGATCTGACGGGAGAGCAGAGGGATGTGTTGATGGCAATGATGGAGTAGACGTCGTGAACGTATGCCTGTTCTAAGGCTAATGAACGCGAAGAACTGTTGATATATTTACCATATTTGCATTCTTTGGTCATTTTATTAACAAATTGAACGTCTTTTCAAATTCTTTAACAACACTTCACTATTGAACACATTTAATCATAATATAAAACAATGTGATACCAAACAAATGTCTATTAAATATATTACGAATAATAAATTTAAACATATTGTAAGCTATTATTTAATTAATAATATTTTATGAAACAATTTTTCCTCAATTAATCCAAAAATCCTAACGAATTGTTAAATTGAATTTTTAAACAAAAATTCTGTTAGAAAATAAAAATTACATGAATTGTGTATAAAAATACTAAAAATGTTTAAAAATCTAAAATAAAGTGAGAATTATAAGAGAAAACACTTTGTTATTGATAGCAACGAAAGAGAGAATTGTGTAAACAAACCGACATTACATTTATTGATCCGATTCTTCACACAATTATTTATCAGAATCTGTGTATATATAGCACACAATATATAGAGAATATACTATATATACTATATAGACAAAGAATATTCTAAACAATAATAAATTGATACTAGAATTGCAACATTTTTCTTTTAAATAATATACAACAATAATCAATACATTTTGTTATTCTGTATTAAAGAATATTCTGAAATAAAATACTACTTATTAATAAAACGTATTATTACTAGTAATTATTTATTTATACTGTATATTAAATAAAATTTAATAATTGTCTTTTTATTCCATTATTGATATAATTTAGTTAAATATATCCAAAAATATATTTATTTTGTATAAATTCTTGTGTTAGTAATTTTTTTAGTTAAATTTAAATAGTAATAAACAAAATTATTATAAAGATTATTATAAAGATAATTATTAAATACAGTATTTATAATATTAAAAATAATCTACAGAATAAGACTTTAATATCATTGATTACACATTTATAAAATACAAATAAAAATATAAATAAATAATAATGTTTATAAACTTATAATTATCCAAAATTATAATTAAAAAAAATATCGAGACATTTGGAACTCTGAAACTTCAGTTTGACTGGCTCTATAAAAGAGTATATAAGCGCCGAATAGATTGTTCCAATCGATTGAATCATTAGAAGAACAGGACTCGTCGTTAAACGTATACCAGTGCTGGCCGTGAAGACAATGGGCGATGTAGTGGCCTAAGGAAATGCTGTCGCCTTTATGAACAATACACGCGAAGAGACTATAATCGGCTCCGCATTCCCTCCCATTGATTGTTAGCTCTCTGTTGATTTAAATTTTTGTCTCCACTTTGTTGCCGTTGTTATCAAATCTTTTTAATTAAACAATTAAAATCGGCGGCAAACGCGTGATTTTGAGAGTCTTGACGGACGGGCCCTTTCGATGGCACCGCTCACACGTCGGCTCGTTGTCACCTGTTATGCACTCGTCCTTAAGGTATACGTCGATGCAATCGTTGACATCCTTCTCGCAGTCCGTCCAATCAGTCAGCACCGGTACTGAGATGTCCCAAAAGATGTCCCAACAGTGGGACTGATGTTTGCAATGCGTGCACTGGATTGTCGACTGGAATTGCCCGACCAATAACTCAACCAGATATGAACGGTTCACACCATTCACGTAAGTTTGCCACGATTTAGGGCCGCTGATGACCGTCACCATCAATCGCTGCGACCAAAACTGCACCCAATTGGCCTCTTCGGCGAGGCCTTGGATGAGACGATCCAAAAACTCTTTGGCGTCGTATTGATTTAGTTGCTTAAACTCATTGCTATGATCGACAAAAACCTTCCAGAAAGCATTTGCTGCTATGGCATTGTTGGTACAACTGGATCCCATTTGGATGAACAGATCCGACAACTCCGAGTGCAATATTCGGACACTTTCACTCGGCAACCAATCCATGGCCGGGAATCGGGGAAACGCTCTTTTCATGGCGAACAGTGCCTGCAGTGTACTATTCATGTAACACGTATTGAGCAAGTTGTCCAAGCCTTTCATGTGCTGATGATTGGGATCCAATTGCGATGCTTTGCTCAAAGACATTGTTTTTATAAATTTAATTATAACAGCAGTAAATTATCAGTATTTCAATACTGATTTGAATTCAATATTTGCCTTCAATGGATATTATTATAGAGTGACAGCTTTATAATACATTACACTCTTACAGTACAAATTACGATACAGCTTAAAAACCTAAACTAATTTTTTAAACTGTTGCTTTCAATCTGTTTCATGCATAAATGATCATGCTGATCATTGTAATTAAAGTAATTTACCTGTTACATTTAATACTTTACGTGCAAACGTATTTTCCCAAATATTATGTATAAGTAGCGTTGCTAGATATATAGGAACGACCTGTATTATACAGGAATTAAGGAATATTGCAGAGTACAGGAAGGTGTCATTCCTGTACATTAAATAATACAGGAATAAATATTATAGCAATAATCTATAAAAGAATAATAATATTCAGATTTTTTTTAATAATAATAGTCCTGTACACAATCTGAACTAATGCTAAAAATAAAATTAAAATTAAACATAATTAACTTAATTATAAATACAAATTGTATAAGCATTCAAATTTTCGCAAAAGTATAATTCTTTGGAAATTGTATGAATTTAAAGTACAGTAAGTACAATGTATTATACAATGTATATTGTCCGACAGAAACAACCAAAATATTGATATAATTATTCTATTATATAATTAATAGCATATTTATAATATTATACATAATAATGACAATATTTAAGTAAATAATGTGTGAATTAGAAAATATTAATATTCCATGTTTCACCTGTATTTTGTCATAACGTCATATGATAGCACTACGAAATGAAAAATTTTATAGTTCATGAAATTAACATTACTATTACTACACAAAATACTTTTACGTTAAATGAATTCAAAACTTTACTATTTCTTTAAAGAGGAAATTAAACTATTTATGAATAAAAATTACACCAAAGAATGTTTAAGTGTTTATAATTACTTTATGCTATTAATTTAATAGTATTAAATATGGTATCAAAAAAATTAACATTATATATGAGTACAGATTGAAAACATTTAGTTAAATAAAAAAATATAGTTAACAAAAACTTTTCAATTCAAGCGATTTTTGTGAAGAATGCCGTAATTGTTGACGTTTTTGATGAAAAAGACCATAAAATAGCATCAATTGAATGATACAAACATAACATTCAATGAAAATACATTGAATTTAATATAATTTAATTGTCATTCAGTAACACATTTGTGACCAAATGTATGAACAAAGCGGTGGTAATGAGTGGCCATCGATGGCACCATTGGTGCAGACAATGGGTTATAACAACGATATGAACGCAATGGCAATGAATGGCTCACTTCTGACACCAAATCAACAAAACATCAATCATTTGATGCCTTATTATAACCAAAACCACGGCTTTAATCATCACTCGAGTCAACAACAATACAACCCTAACTTTGGCCACAATTATCGGCCGCCACTTCTTCAGCACCACTCCAACCAACAGCCCATCAACTCTTCGTATGGGAACCAATCGTACGGTCAATCGATGTCACAGCAGACACATCCGCCGCAGACACCCATTCAGCAGACATTTCATCACCAAAACCATAATCTCAGACCCATTGGTGTCTTGGCTTACGAGGACAACAGTTGGCACAATCGGCTCAACGACACGCAGAGGCAAGTGTTGGATCAGCTGAACAAAGAACAGGAGGCCTTTGACCAGACGTTCAGGAAGTGGGAGACAGACTTTGAGAACTGGAAACAAGCGAATCGATTGCATCCAGACGTCAACGCTTACCACTCATATGTCAGCCAATGGCAGGACTGGAGACATAAACTCGTTGAACGACAGCAACAGATGCAAGAACTCAGACAACGAACTCTTCAGCAGCTCTACTCACAGGTCATACAAACGCAGCCATTAGTGCCGCCGCCACCGCCTCCCGAACCCACACAAGCTGTGCCGCCATCTCAACCGCCGCCACCGCCCGACCCCTCGCCATCACAATCTCATAGACGTCCACCGCCTCCGCCGCCACCCAACCCAACGACAGCACCGCCTCCACCGCCACCGCAGTCCTCGTCATCACCTCTTAAATCGATTTCATGTGAAACACAAAACAGGTTTAAATCAAATGGAAATCAATTGAATACCAATTCAAATAAGACTCAGAAGAACGCAGACGAAGAAAGTCTCGTGTATTCAATGTTTAGAGACGAGTCCAACGATTCAATTGAGATAATCAGTGAGAAGAAGAAAGACGACAACGAAATGACTCAAAGCAAAGATGAGATCCAAAAGACAGCCGAACCACAGAAGAACAGTGAAGTGAACGTCTCGTCCAAAGACATCACTAAAGCTGCCGAAGACATGCGATTCATTCAAAAACAACAGGAATTTCTTAAGAATTTAGAAAAACTAAATACAGTGTCGGCTAATAGACCGACAAATGCAACAAATAGTGACGATTTGCAAGTAATTGATGGCCCGAAAGGGTTTGATGTGAAAGATATTGTGACTAAAATGAAAGCCATTCGCCCGCCGGAGAACCCGAACCACTCTAACAATATTTTATCCGAATTGCCATCACTTCAGGGAATAGTTATGAACCCAAACCAAAGTTTGCCACAAACTAACTATGGTATGCAATCCGTGAGATATCGGCCACCGATGGATGTGCCGCATAATAGGGCCCAAAGGCCGCAATTTGCCAGCAGTGGTCACAACAACAGACCCCCAGTGCAGCACAACTTAGCGAATGCCACTCAAAGGTATCCACAACTGAATT